ATTAATGCTATCTAGAATCGTAATGCTTAAACCTAAGAGAATACGTCTTTTGAAAATAATTATGAGAAGGTGAAATGTTACTTGTAATGTAACCTTTTTAAATATTCATGCATTTAGGAGAAATTTGTTGTAAGCATGGCCAATATGTATATTGCTATAGTAAGTCTAAAACAATGGTTCAAACGTGTTATTTGAATTTTATTGATATCATAGTTGTTATGTAAAATGCCGAAGCTTATAAAACTTTTTGCCCAAAAGGAATAAAGGTACATTACAATAGTACAAAAGTTTTTCAGCTTAGGTTTTTCAGATTATTATAATTGATAAACTAATAACTTAAAACTATAAAACCGAAATCTATAAAAATATTTGGTGAATGTGAACAATAAAATACAACATTCTTGTATTTAAGAGATACAAAAAAAATTTTTTTTAAACAAAACGGGATTTTTTGAAAATGGAACCTCAGACAGAAATGAGATCAGAATTATAACAAAAAAGAATCAAAAAGTTTGATTTTAAAATTCGAACCTAGCAACGTAAATTTTCTTTTGATAAAACATCGGTTTTTACTAACTTTTTTCACAGAAATATCGTTTGCACGTAGGGCGGAGTTGTTCCACCTCTGCCGAATATTAAACTATTCGTCCTCGATTTTTTTCGTCCTGTGTACATTGGACAATACAAACAGTATGCGACATATTTTCAACGTTTTTTAACGGGTCATGGGATCGCAGTGCTTTTTACGACCATTAAGCGTAAACTTAGATTGAAAAATAGTTCGGTAACACATTTATCTACATTCTTTACAATAGTGAGAGTATTTTCAAAGTGTTATTTTTAATTTTAAATCGCGCTCTATGCTTTTTGATGGTGAAAATTTATTTTTGTAGTGATGTGCAAAAAAATATTTAATTTAAAATATGGAATAATGGCTGTCACTTGGTTCAGCAATCGGCGCTGCCCATCACACCTACAACCTCAAAGTTATTCATTTTACTGTTAAGACTTGAGGATTTCGGGATTTAGAGATTGTGGCTTGCGGCGGCAAAACACAACGCATGCGATGTTTCACGCTTTTTATTCGTGAATGGCCAATATTGTGTACCTTCAAGAATTTGGTGAACTATTTTGTGCAACTGCAAATTTACGGCAATAAGGTATATTGAGTGCACCATCCTAAGTCATGATAAGGACATGATATACTTTGAATGTGTATAAAAACTGACCATGTCCCGTACAATTGTATTTTTTGGGAGAAATAAAGCTAATAAGTTCTCAAACTTGAAGAGGCAACCAGTCAGGGCATACAGTCAACGCACTCGTAAATCCTCCGTTGCAGGTGTCCATGGGCGGCGCTGATTGCTTACCATCAGGTAATCCGTCTGCTCGTTTGCCGACCAATTACATAAAAAAATACAGTCCATTATACATCAATGGATTCTTTAAACTTTAAAAGTAAATATTCTCGTCTCCACAATCATTTAAAAATACCGTAACCTTTTAGACTATGTGTATGAGGCAAGCTTAAACCTGACAATAGATGTATAAGATGTACCTAGTAGTCGAAACTTCTAAAAAGAACCTTCTTCTTTTTTTTCTTTCTCGGCAAGCACTTGCCAAAAAACGACCATACATTAAGGGAAATTAAGTCTATTGTTGTTCAGTCTGTATATAATAAAATCATAAAATATTTACATCGCAGAATTATGTTATATTTACAGAATAATAAGCATACAGATATGTATATTATGTAAACAAGCCTTTGACAATTAAGCCTCTAAATATGTCGCGAAAATTGGTTCGTTTAATGAGCAAATATGCTTTAGATGTCTATATATGTAGATATTTGCCTACATAAATTAGATTAGTAATTTGCAAAATATTACTTAAACAAGGAAAATTCAATTGCTCATGTGTGTGTGCAATACTTGGATGTTATGTAAAAAAGTATAAAAGATTTTGGGACCACAACTATGGATGATATTCAAATGTGGGAGAGCCAAGCTTCGGCACGAATTGGTCGGTTCGACCGGAGTAATACCACGGCCTCACAGAAACCAGCGCGAAACAACCACAGCGTTGTGTTTCGCCGTGTGAGTGAGGTTATCGGAGGCTAATCCTTCCTCTCCCCCAATCCCTAATCCCTAATCCCTAAAAGGTCGACAACGCACTCGTGAATTCCTCTGTTGTTGCGGGTGTCTATGGGCGGCGCTGATTGCTTACCATCAGGTAACGCGTGGCTCGTTTTCTGACCTATCACATAAAAAAATCCATTCAATGAATTAAAGTAAGACTTTTTATTAAACTCTTGGGTTGTCTTCTTCCCAAGCCAAATACTCATCTAATTTATGAAGGAAAATACCTATATAGACATCTGAAGCAAACTTGCTCAAAAAACTATAGTTAAAGGATTTTGTGTTTTTTATTAAGTATTGTGGCTTAACATGAAGTGATAATGTGTGTAGGCATTTCTAAGTGTCATGAAAGATTTATTGAATTTAATTATGTCAATAAAAAATTGCAACGTAGCTAGCAAATCTATTTGAAAGATCCGAATAAAATTTGTTTTGAAAAAATACAAATATCAATTATACTAATTTTACATTCTATAAATGTACAAGGAAAGTACTTAAATTTTCCCTATGACTTACGCAAAAATATATTATATTTACACAGCGGTACCTGTTAAAGGTACCTCATAGACCCTTTAATGAAACCGTAAAAGCAGGGGCTAATTAGTGTCCCTAATCACGACAAGCGAGTCAGGTTAATTGGAAACACAAAACGGTTTGTTTTAGTGCCCTTGAAAAACCTATATAAAATGCTATTGTTACTTAAGTATTTAGGTAAGTTAAATTACTTTCTATATTAAAAATCAAAGAATTAATTTATACTTTAAAGGTCGGACTCGGACTCGTAGGCTTATTGGTTTACGACTGCACGGTTGGCGCGGTGGCTGGGCAACTGGCTGCCGCGCAACGTGTCGCGGGTTCGATTCCCGCACGGAACAACTCTTTGTGTGATCCACAGATAGTTGTTCCGGGTCTGGGTGTGATGTGCATGTGAAATTTTATGTTTGTAAACGCACCCACGACACAGGAGAAAATCCTAAAGTGGGGCAAAGTTTTAGAAAAACAAAGTTTTAGAAAAAAAAACAAAATTGGTTTTAAGCCTATGCTTTAATCTAGAGTCACCTATCAATCAGGGTATTAAAAGGTAAATTGTCAGGAAATAATAACAAACACACATTAATATATTCTGACAAATTTTCACATTTTTTAACTTTCATGACTGCACGGTTGGTGCGGTGGCTAGGCAACTGGCTGCCGTGCAACGTGTCGCGGGTTCGATTCCCGCACGGAACAACTTTTTGTGTGGCCCACAAATTGTTGTTCCGGGTCTGGGTGTCATGTGCATGTGAAATTGTATGTTTGTAACCTCACCCACGACACGGGGAGAAAATCCTAATGTGGGGCAAAGTTTAAAAAAAATTATATATATATATATATAATTTTAGTAGGATTATTAATCATCACGTTATAAAAATAAATGCCTACTCAAATTATCACTTTTTGTTATGCAACAATAACAAAGAATATGCAACAACAATACTTAAAAGAAATAATGTAATCAGTTGAAAGTTTTTCACAAGTGCAATATTTTAAAGTTTGACGTAGAAGTGATAGCAAGAAATTTCTAGATAAATAGCCCATTTGTCGCTGAAGTCGTCTGTTAATAAGCGCTAGCCTAGCAGTATTGGCTCGACCACTTCAGATATTGCAAGGACATTCAGTGCAATATACCAAGTAGAAAACTTTTCTACATTAAATTTATAAGAATTTATGACAACTGCACGAATTGGTATTTTTCTATTGTAAGTAACTTATGTTTTCTGCGATATCAAAATTGATAGGTACTGTTTTTTGATGAAAAAAAAAACCTAAAAATGTGTAATGGGTAAACGTACAAAAATAATTATATCCTTAATTTGAACATAACTGTAGGCCATGCTTCCGTATGATTGGACCTCGAAATCTGGAAAATTATCAGTTCGTTTGTCAATCGATCCGATTCCATCCATAAAACAATTAAGGACTACTATCTCATAGATAATCGTTTTAAAATATATACAGACTAGCTAATCTCGCGCGGTTTCACCCGCTGCTTAGCGTCTTTTGATCGTAGCGTAATGTTTTATAGCTTATAGCACTCAGGGACATTGTAGCTATCAATCAGTGAAAGAATTTTGGCAATCCGACCAGCTTTTCCAAAGTTTACCCCCTACATACAAACTTACAAATTTTAACTTTTTATAATATTAGTATAGATAGACAATAAGTATAAAGATACACACAACAGAAATTCGTGATAAATGACGATCATTGTAATATTCCGAACAGAAACCATGCCGATAATTTATAAAGAAACGAAAATGCTCCGACACTATAAATAAGTATTAGGAATGACAGAAACGATATTTTCCAAGCAAAATCAATATTCACAAAACAATATGTATAAAAGTCACGACGCTAAGACCCGGTACACAAATATCTGAAACATATAATTTATGAGATTTTTACTTAAAAACAATTTGTTTATTGAGATAAACTACGCTTCGGTTGGAAACTTACAACATTGAAATGTCAACGGTAAAGTTATTGATATCAATTAAAAAGTTACGGCACATTTATCTTCGAACAAGTTTGCTGTTACAGAAGCCCTTGCAATAAATTATTTTAATGATTTGATAGCAATACTTAAGCTTGTTAATAGAGAAAGTATGGATGAAATGGTTACAATTCTAACTTTAGTTAGAGTTTCAGAAAATACACGAAGATAGCTAAAACAAAGATGAAAATTCACCAACATGATAATTCAGTCACAAGTTTCCTGGACGGCCAAAAGCCTGTACAGAGCCAAAACCACCGAAGTATAGTCTTTCTCAATTATCAACCCTAAACTCATAGATATAAAACTTAAATAAGTGTGATACATACTTGGTCTCATCAATGTAGACAGCTTCAAGAACTTTTGCAGCATACTGAAGGTTCTTTTGTAAAGTCTCTGCGGATATTTCACCCCTATTCAATTGTCTTAGGAGATAGCGTAATCTGTGAACAAAAGAGAGAAATAGAATTAATTACGAGACATTCATTAAGGAGTACATTTTATGTGTCGGAGTGGCTCGGGTTAATTCCTGTTACGCGTGGTGAGAATTATTTGCTAATAAAACAAGAAAGGGACTTTGTTGAGTCATTTATTGTATCAAAAATAATAAGATTTATATTTTAAACATTATTATTGTATTCCTGCGTTCAGCAACCGAACAAAAAGTTTTCTACCCAAAGGTTAAAAGAAAAACGCCCGTGTAAGCAGTGTAAGTTTATCCCTAAACATATTAACCCAGAAACAGGTTTATCTTGGCAGATAATATAATTAACAAGGCCAGAAGTTTGTATTTTCTCAACATTAACGTTATTAACTAAGGGAATCTAATTCCGACCTTTAAGGGCACTTACTAAGCGGAGCCAATCGCCTGTGGGTGTGGAAAGGTGCCCAACATTGGTTCACACCCTTCCCCAGATAAATTGGATTGCCCAGCTAATGCTTTACACGCACTTATCCGAGATTTCCGATATCAGATATTGCTCTTTTATTTGATTTCAACTCGAGAACTGGAGGAAAATACGATATCAAGTGCGAAATAAAATTCTTACTTTAATTCGTTTTATTTCATAGTTTTAAGATGTCGCCTGAGTATGTCGAAAGATTGAGAACCCTAATTAATACTATTAAGAAAGTTTAAATTGATTTCTAAGTTACTATATATAATTGATTTGTAAGTTAATATATATGTAATATATATGTACTATAAAAAATTGATTTGTAAGTTAATATATATGTAATATATATATTTTTATTACGTAATATATATTTTAATTTATATATATATATATTACGTATTAACTCATGTATCGAGTTTATTTCCAAGTCTATTCTTTATTCTATTTTTGACTGAGAAACGAAACTAGCTAGTCAACTGTTTAGAGGTAAAAAAAGGTTAAGTGAACAACTACATTACTGCGTCCAACAGGACTATATCCTCCTTTAAATAAGAGGGCCTGCCGTAATCTCGACAATTGACAAATTGGAGATTGTAGTTTAAAAGATTCAGGTATACCAGAGAGCGCTACTGTTCCTGTGCCGTGCCTGTGTGCTATTTAGTCCCATAGTCGAATAAGCATGTTGTCACCATTGAAAACTATTTAAGACAATTAAAAAAAATACTGAAATAACTCGTATAAAAAGACGCCTAAGCAAAAGAAAATAAAAAAAAATCTAATACCTAAGCTTCTCTCATCCGAGGGAAATAAAAATTATCTACAAGAAATTACCTGTTGAGTTCCCAAACGACCTTATAACTGGCAGGAACGATACTACGCAAATACTTTCTTTTTTATTTTCTGCTATCCGGACTTATTAGTTCTGAACTCTTTTCAAGTAAAGCAGTTTATATTTTTTCTGTTGTCTATAAATTGGCTGTTATGATAAACTTTGCTACACTGTTATTTTGTTTTATGATAAGTGGGTGGTGTTGTTTTTTTTGGAGTGTATTTGTTGTAAGTGGACAATGGTTCTAGATTCCATATAGACCATATTATTCAATCTCGTAAAAAATGCCTTTGGGATCGGTCAAATTTAAAGTGTCTAAATATATTTCTTGAGGTCAATTATGGTAACAAATATCTGACTGTAAAACTGATCGTTTTCAATCTATTTTACACACAATTTTTAGAGTAGTCATCGAGTCTTCTTCAACGGATTTTATACTTTGGATCGAGCAAGTAGCCTCGTTAGAGGACTGGACTGACAAATAAATAAACACTTTTTTTCTTTAATATTTTTTTGCGGTAACTTTTAAATGTTTATTAGGATGTCCAAACTATATATATAATTATAAATGCGAAGGTAACTCTGTATGTCTGTCTGTCTATCTGTCTGTCTTTTCTTCATGTCTAAACTACTGAACCGATTTTTTTTTAAATTGGTACAGAAGTAGTTTGGAACTCGAAAAAGGACATAGGATAGTTTTTATAAGTACCAAAAATCTGCTAGAAGTTCCACGCAAATGGAGTCGCGGCAAAAATTAGTTGATAATAAATATGGCATCAAAAGCAGTTACTGTATCTATAGCTTAATTATTTCTCAAGCGAATTCATAACTCTTACTTGAAGTCCTACTCTTTAATATGCGAAATTTGCTTCTTTGTCTTTCAGGTGACGATGAGGCGTCTTAATGATGCTATTTTTCTGTCTAGAGATAGGATACTAAAAAATAACGTAAGGTAACGTTCTGTTTTTTTTTACTGACCTAGTGGCGAAATTGCATGTTTAATTTGATTTGTAACTTTAACGCAAAAATAGACTCTTCATTGATATATTCTTTAATCGAGTAATCACTGTGTATGTGTATCTCGGAAACGACTCTATCGATTTCGATGAAATTTTGCATATATCCGGTTTCCGGTACCAAAAATCAATCTATCTAGGTTTTATTTTGAGAAATAAAATACCAGGTAGTATTTTTATGTTTTATAATAAAATAACAATGCAATACCTAGTGAAAATATTTCAGAGCATATTCTGTTTCTCGTTTTGTTTTGCCTCTCCAGGTTTTCCGACAAAACTAAATCATTGTCCTATCTACTTCCTTTGTTTCTTCCAACATTTTCATAAAATGTAACATTCATATTGAAAAAATGTGACTTCGAAATTTAAAATTCTAATGAGGTGCTGTCACATGAGAATCCAATATATCCATAGTCAATTGTAGAAATTTGTCTTATGAGAGATGAAAATTGTCGATTTGTATTAATTTCAATACCAATATGAGCTAAGTTCGGACCAGCCGTTTTAGAGTTTTATCGAGACTAAAGAACAGTATTTTTATTTTTACCTGGCTAACTACGTACTGCCTCTAAATTAAATAATACCTCAAACTTATTTGTTTATTGATAGTTTTGTTTGTAGTGTGGGAAAAAAATTACGAATCTAATTATTTATCTGCAATAACTTTGCCCTACACTAGAATTTTCTCGTGTCATGGGTCCGTTTACCCATCAAACCTAGACCCTGAACAACAAATTGTAGAACACACCAAGAGTTGCTCCGTGCGGGAATGGAATCCGCGACACGTTGCGCGGCTGCCAGTTGTCCAGCCACCCGTCAACCATGAAGTCAATTACAAAAGAACAAATTATCTATAATTATTACCATTTTAACCTTACCACTACATTCACAAATATTTCAAAACTAAAGTTAACCAGGTTTAGATTTAGAGTGATTAAAAAACAAGCAGGAATTGATTATGACATTAACTACACGAAATATATAATTATACCCAGTAATATTATCTACATCATTATGGATTGTGTTGCTAACTATACCTAAATCAAAGTCCCTATTGTGTTAAATGTCACTTGTATCTAATTGTGCCACTCAAGCTTAGCTTTCAATGGGTAGTGGTGGCAGCCTAATTTTGTATCGATATCAGTTCATTCTAGGCTGTCATTGTCTTCATATAAGGCAGGCTGTGTGTTAGATGTTAATCTATTGTCCTGTGCTGGTTCAGCGATAATGTCATGTTCTATTCACGTAAGTACCTACATTATCGTTGTCAATGTTCGAGATTAAATTTACATAATACATACATAATTATTATTAATGCATTTTATTAAAAAACTAGGTAAACTCGCACGGTTTCACCCGCTGCTCAGCTCTATTAATTTGATCGTAGCGTGATGTTTTATAGCTCGTAGCACTCAGGAACATTGTAGTTATCTGTCTAGGAAAGAATTTTGGCAATCCGACTAGCGGGTCTAAAGATTACCCCCTACATACAAACTTACATTTTTTATAATATTATTATAGAAAATGCTGTTCTTTAAATTTAAATCATATGTTGAAATTAGAACATGATGAGACATTTTGGATGTCGAATTGGCGCTTAAAAACATTAACGTTGGTGGTGGTTTTTTGTGGATTCCGATGATTCTGTGTTACGGAAACGCTATTGATAGTTAGACGAGCGATTTTAAATGAAAAATATGAAACATTTTCAATAGAATAGATTTCGGTAAGCCATTCTATGGTGTGGTCATTCTATCATGGATAGAATATCCGTTTAAAATATATACATAACTTGGATAGTCCAATTTTTATATTTCCGAAATCTGTTTTACTGTTGCGTGGCTACATATTCACCTGAACTTTCAGAATCAATAATGGAATTGTATGCAAATAAATTTTACAGTTGTACAAAAATACCGAACCAGGTTTAATCCACTCGCAAGCCCTTATCGCTACTATTATTCAGAAAACCAGTGAGCTGCGGTGACAAGCGAATCGATGCACCTATTCGTAAAATTGAAAGAGGAATATGAAACGGGAATATCAATCGAAATTGAAAGGAATAGCCCGTGTCGGCTACCGGAGGGTAATAAAAAAGACAGCTAAAACCGTTAGAGGTTTTATTTGAAACGAGTAGAATGGTGTTGGTGGAAAAGACCGGATCAGTTTACCGCCGCACTCAGAGACATTTTTAATGATTCCTTAAATTTTTCCTTGGTAAAGATCATGTTTCAACAACAATTGCTAAGGATAGGTTATGTGAACATTGAATGGCCGAGAACGGCGGTAAGACTGTTAATTAAAATCTTTGTGAAAGCACTTCTTGTTGTAAGATTATCACGTTGGTTGGTTGGCAAATTCCGCCTAAGACCTTTGTCTAGACGGATTCTCAGGCCTTATTAATAAATTAGCCAATGCAGTACTAAATAAGCCTTCGGAATGGAGCTGAAGGAATTTGAGGGTTTCTAGTCATTTAGAGTCTGACACTCCCTCTTGCCAAACCCAGGGCAAGAGAAATCAGTTGATGATTACTAATATTTGTAATTGACAATTAAAAAAAAATATTAAAAAGTTATGCGAAAAAGCTGTTAATCTAGAACTGTTCTCGATACCGGGTCATAAAGTCCCATTACGTAATGGAACTAAAGAATAAATTAAAGAAGAGTTGAGGTCATATTTATAAGAGCTAGTAGTATGTAAGT